GTTTTTAAATGGCGAAAATGCGGCAAACTGTTGGTATCGAAAACACGCAAACGAGGAAAATTAAGCATCCGATATAGTTTCTTACGACAACCACTATTTTTAATTTAAGTAATACAATTCTCGGCTCGCGAATGTCAGCAGACACATACGTCGTGGTAATGGTAGACCCCGTGGCAAAGGAATGCTTACCAAAGGCACGCTTCAATGTTGAGTGGCTTTTCCAGTTTCATTATCTGTTCACTATAGCCACGCTAAACGCACCCAAAACATGGACGGTTGTTGTTGTTGTTGATAGCTAGATCATTTGTGATGCCAGCAACATCAGTAGTAACCGTGCGGTAGTATTATCTCCCGCCAACTGATAAAACTATTTATACGAATAAACATCCACAGGCCCCCCCGCCCCATCTCAAGTGCTGGCTGGGGTGCATTCAAGAAATTAGGGAAACATTTTTGACTGGCCAACTACTTGCTTTGCCTGAACGACGACGACGACAGCAGCAGTAGTTGTTGCTGTATCACCAGCACTTGTTGGCTTTTTGCTATAGCTTCCAAGCGCTGGAAACACTGATTTGATTGTCGCGTCGCTTTAGCGGGCAATAACTCCAGCTTCACTAGGCCAGCTAGTTGGTCCTTGCAGATTGTAATAGCTATGAGGTGAGTTAATAAGACCCCCAATGCCTCACACGAAATAGAACGAAGCATAAAGTATTCTGTGTGAAGCGCACCGCCGATAGCAGCTGTGACTGTAACATATATATATGATACATGTGTTCTATTGAGCATAATTGTGCCGTAATCAAAAAACAAATATTGTAGAAATACCACAAGGCAAAAAGCGGCGGATCAGGAAACCTGGCGAAGAAAAGCACCGTCTGACGCATACAATGACTCGCTGCAGATATGACTAACGCCGAACGAAAGCGCTAAGCTGCGAAACGGGCAACATAGACGGCCGAAAGAATCGGTAGCGCATATAGACGCCGGTAGCGCGATTCTAGAAAAACAATCATGAATTTGCCATAGTAGGACAGCGCGTCAGAAACGTTTTACTGAATTGTTTTTTTTTTTTATTTAGATTGCTTCAAGCCAAAACCTTGTTGTTTCAATCGTCCCGCTTTCTATTATTTCCTACATCCAGTGTTGTTACCTAACACCTGACGGATATCGTTGACGTCAACGGACACGGCCATTAATATATCACTCTATGTCCAGTGATGTGGATGTGTGAGCAGTAACCAATTTCATTGTTTCACCTGTACAGGTACCGCCAGACGAGTGGCCTATTTGTCCTATTCAAACAATTACTGCAGCAACGTTTTTATATTATCACTTTTATATTTCATTTAATATTTATACTAATTAGAACATTGTAACGGGTGTTGCGGTGGCCCATGTGGTCAGAAGGCTTAGGATTTAACTAGCGCGATCGTTGTCACAAGAATAATTCCGAAAGCCAACTGAAAGGGGTGGACAACGAGGAAGACCTATCAGTCGGATCGCTCACGAACAATCATTACGTGCCCTCGCAACAGGCACTGCGTGATAATGAACATGTTCATTTAGTTTACTTGAAGCTAAGAAGATGAAAAATGCCTTTGGTATGACAATTTTCTCAGAGTACTTAGCTTCTAGCTGCTGTTACTAGCGCTATAGTAGAGATGGTCGTCAGCACCATTTATCGCTATCGTTGCTTAGTCCGGACACTCAACAATCTGAAACCTTCGCGTGCGTAATAGTTATTTCAGTTTATCCTAAAAATGTAGCTAAAAAAATATGCCATGTTCAATAACTTTATTATTGTTCCACAACAGTGAAGCTCATCGCATCGTAACATAGCCCGTGAAGATTCATTGCAGCAGGCTAACTTGCCAAAGCAAAGTGTGTTTGCCTCCGTTGAGAACTCGCTGCTGAGTGATACGTAATAACAACTTAATCGATTCGTTTGTTTTTATTTTTTCTAAAAACGCACAAATAAAACGCATCACTGGACACATTATAGTGATACGACGGAAACGCCTTTGCGGGTCGCGGTTTATATTGCACCTGAGCAATTGTTGTAGTTTATATTTGGAATCATTTGCGATGCCTGCCAGCGATAGCTGGCTCCTTTAATATAATCTATTTGTAGAACAAACGTAATTAATAATTGCAGACAGAATACGCCAAAGCTAGAGCTGATAACCAGACGTCTTCGTTGAATAACCAGTGACGGTGAACGGCATTCTCTCACGTCGAAGTGAGACGTTTATCACAAACGTAATGGGCTTGGGACGAATGAAACAGCCAGCGATGAGTCATCCACGGGGCAGACTCGGGCAGACGCCGCGATGCGTACTCGTAACTAAAAGTGGCAAATTCGTTCGTTGACAGGAAAATGCACCTCTCATTACATGGTGAGCGTCGTAGGTAATATTATCATTACTGATATAGTTGCCAAGTGGTACCTGACGAGGAAAAGGCTTACCTATTTTTGAATATCTACGACAAATGGAGAACGAATGACGGGACACGAGCGGGTAGTGGTTGAAGCGAAAATGCGGCGATCAAGTGCGCTACGTGGGGTGCTATCTTAGCACAAACAGACGTTATCGTTTTGTGACATCGGCATTCATAGAAATTTAAGGACAGGTTTTTTGTTCATGCTACGTAAATAGTGGCAATTAAAGTTGGTCGAGGTTAAACGTACTGCGTATCGTTCCGTCTCGCACGTAGAATCAGCACGTAGAAAAGGAGGCAACATAATTCATAACAGTACAGTTGCTGCACTCTTCGTCATCATTTGGGTTCGTTTTCATACGATCGCCGCTCTATCACGTCACACGACGCGTAAATTGCCCTAAGGGCTAAAACAGATAACGGCTAGAGTCACACGCTTAGCGCGACAATAACGCGTGGATTAGAAATGCGCTTCTGTAAATAATGTTATTCTAATTTTTCTGTTTACCTATGTCGCTGTAAACTTCCGTCTAAGCAGGGCTTTCGTTGGCATCGTACAACAAAAAGTTCTCGTGAGAACAAGCAGCAGCATGCGAAATGTAAGTAAGGGCGGCGGCAGCAGATATTGACAGGAACGTTTTCTCCAATCAAAACAAAATTACTTTATGATTCAGTCGTCGATAAGGGAACTTAGATCCAAAAAAAAAGAGTGAACGCGTGGCCACGCTGTTTGGAATAACAAGTAATCCAGCTATATGACAAATTTATTCGATCGGCTAGAAAAAAAAAACACGTCATTCAGAACGATCAAAAATACAACGACCAATATGATTATTAGCATTACTCTTACGATTACTGCTGCTACTGCCACGATTTAGCCGGCCAAAAAGCGTCGCCCTCGATCTCTGGTGCAGCAGACGTCGACTGCAAACAGAGCTCTGGAAAGATCTTACAAATAGGTGTACGCTCACTCATTCACAAACGGGTGATGCCAATGGAAAGGATGCCCTCCGGTTGCTCCCTCGAAGATAAAACTGCCGACGAACCTACACGTTTTCCGGCGAAAAATAATCAAATCAACAGCGATAGCGTCGCCACCGACAACCAGTAGGATTGGAGCCCAGCAAATCACTTACGCATGTACGGTGTAAACACAGACACGCATATATATATATATATATATATATATGTTTTTTTTTTGGTGTTAAGCTGCATGTTTTTGATGGTGACACGGCGCTACCAGCATCGTGGCTGATCTATGCGCGCGCCATTTGAATGTCTATAGAAAAAACTGGGCATGCACATCCCAATCCCACGAAAGGCGAAAATGGTGGCCGGCCAGATATCTCTTTATCATTATTGCTACTCTAAAGTAACAATGTGTGAAGTGTCGTCTACTCCCTGTGTAGCACGTAATGGAACCGTTCATCAAAGATTTTTCTTCAATGTATACCATCATTATCAGGGTCGGCCAGCTAGTCGAGGGTCTTGCGACAATGGTCTCTGGATTTTTGCTCTCTTCCGTTCAACTTTGATTAACATAAGACTCGTCTCGTTCTTTTTTTTTTTGCATATAATAACAACAAATCTGCTAATATTTATAAATTGAGGCGCATATCTACACTCGACTAATCATAAAACGTTTGTATAAACATGGCCCACATCGACGAGCGGGCTAACCAGCGGCGATAGTATGGCGTCCAGCCGGTTTGCTTTAGGAAACTTTTGAATGTCACAGCCGTTCGTAAGCTCTAACACTGAGACGCTGCTCCATTTGCCATGTTCCATTTGTTTAGGTTAAGGAACATAGACGCCTTCTTGCTGACTTCTAAGAGGGATCGCTATTGACAGTCCGCTAACATACCGTGTATTCTATTACCGTTTACTGCGGACAGAGCTAGCGAGCAATCCAAGCAGGAACGATGGTTGTAGAAACACGAGCAATCACTGACACATTGTTGAATCTGGCTGGATTAGCTTTTCTGTATACGGGTAGGTAGATCTCGAATGCGTTTCTAACAAGGACTAGCCAAAATCCCAATGTCATTTGGTGTAGCCTCAAGGATCGACAATTTGCAGTAGCCACAACCAATGACAGGGCTATTCTAAGCGCGTTACAATTTTGTATCTCACGTAAAAAGCGTCTATTTATTATATTTCAAAAGTCTGTCCGAAAGTCAGAGTATGTCGAGCGTACGACGAATTGATTTGGGTACGTGTTAATGAACATCCTTAACAGTGGTAATTTTAACTTTTTTTTTTATGATGAACAATGATCTAAGATCAACTATCGCCCCGTTAAAAATGGGTTTTTTTTTTAGGTTGACCGAGTACTCGCTATCTGCCATCTAATGAATCAGTCCTTTGGCAGTCAATCAACATACAATACTGCTGAGCAGCTGCGCCTTTAGAATGATCTGTAGAAGCTAGAAAGACTATGAGTTCAGCCTTTATTTCGAAATGCTCTCGAATTGGAAAGTGCTTGATTTATACAAAGAATGTATTTGAGATAGGGTAGTTTGGCCATTATGAAGAATGCAACGATTTATTTTCTCGTTTTTATATATAAATCTCGTTTTTACCACTAGATTTTGCCTTCTTCGAAACGATTCTCAGAAAACGTTTGATATAGAGTAAATAGATTCGGTCGTGCCTTACTATCATCAGCACGCAATCACACGCGTACGGATAGGCACATAGCCTAAACAGACGAGGCAAACTGACCGTTGATCTTGCTGCTGTTCTGTCTAGTTCTGCCCCATTCTATCTGGTTCTGCGTGTGAGAAATCTTTTTACGAGCTGTCGACGATTGTTCAAAATGCCTGATGTCAGCGTATGACCATATAATTACAACTCCATGCGTTCTGGGTCGCTTAGCCGGCTGAGCTCGCTGCTTCCTCGAATAGAGAACGTCGCAATAGCAGGGTGATGCAATCCTTCCCTATCAATATGTATGCCAGCCAAAATTTTTTTCCTATTGGGCAGTGGTTTCTCAAGGGCCTACGATGTTAGATGGACTGCACGAATTGACACCTTAACGTAATGCACGACTGTGAAACTCCATGCAAACACGAAACAAAGTGTACGGAACTGTTGCGTGCAGTAGAATCTTTGTGAAGCATCGCATTCGAAACTCAATTAAGTAACTAAATATATTGCGCAGTCAGTCTCCGCTTATAAGTGTCCCGAATTTCGCACCCGGTACGCTATCCATTAGGCGTTACTTTAGACAGCTGAATCCCACCATGAAGCAAAATGGGTCTGTGACAGGGTTCGAATTTCCCAATTTTCGTATTCCTACGGTGAAACACGTTATCACCGTGACGGGGACGCGCTAATTTCCACTCTTGTGAGCCTTAGTGGAAAAGGCAGAGTGTACAGAGGGGTTTGTTGGGCCCGTCAGGTGGCTCACGGTAAGCAGTACTCGTACGTGTTGCCTATTGTAATAATAGTAGCTCACCAACTAGGCTAACATAATATATACATCATATATGTCTACACTTGTGAATTTTGTTTAGAAAAAAGTCGGATCCAAAAATACTGTTGGCTGGCTGCTGGGAGGTTCTGGGCTACCTATGCACCCGTCAAAGCGGGCTGTTCTTAGGGCCAGTGGTGGGTTCGACAACGACGACACTAATAGCGGTGGCCAGCAAAAGCCAGTTTGTAGATGTTATCCAGACGCCTCAAATGAGATCAGTTTGTCTGGTCTGGCTGTGGTGCGACAGGTACACTATAGACAGGTACAGGCCGTGCTGGTGCAGAACTTCTGACCCGTGAATCGCTATATGTATGTGTGATCGTGCATGAGCTATACGAATCTAAAGTCTCTGATCGTCGCAGCGGTGCTTTTTATATTCGTCGGACACAATTTCATGCACCCCTCCAACCCCTTAGCCCTTCAAACCTAGACACTCCTTATGTCTCTACAGCAAGTCCGACAATCCCTACGCCACTGCCATTGCGGTGATTCCTGTCACTTCTGCAAAGTGCCGTGAGAACTAACCAGGTTCAATCCGTTCTACGAATAATTCCGTTTGCCTCCATGGCAATGTCTTTTCCGTTGAATGAAAAAAAAAGATTGGATACTGCTGTCAACCAGAAACCACTGCGCCACTACAATCGAAGCAGGATAACGAAGTTTCTGCATCTGTTGGTTTGAATAAAGCGTATGAGCTGACTAGAATATGGGAAATTGTGTACAAACGTATACATAAACGCTCGTACGTTCAATGTGTAACGTAAGTAAAGACGCGTCTTTTTTTTTTTTATATTTGACGACCATTAGCCATAGTGTTAAGTAACCTATTGTAGCGCGAAAGGAGGATACAATATCACACCTTGATTATACGCCAGTGTTCGTGTGACGTCAAAAGTAATAACAATAACTGTTTAATATCTCAATGTCTGACAACTTACCAGTTTCTAAATGTGCTCCAACTTTCAATATTCGCTGGTGAATCTATCATCCGTGTCTACTGTTTGTAATCCGTAAAGGGCACTCACTGCTTCACAGTATTCTAAGCCAACTCTGCCGGCCATCACAGCTCTGCGCTTGCGAAGCTACTGTGATGACTGTTGTCGCTGCAGCGGCTGTTGTTGACGACGTAACTTGAATGTCGACGCGTTCTGATTGCTCATTGAAGCTTCTTAATTTAGCAGAACTTTAGCAGTTGAAGCAGCTTTTTTAGCGCATCGATGTGCGATGAAGACAACGCCAAAAGCAACCTTTGTGGAGTACGCGACCAAGTGGTATCGAACTGGCTAATTTCGAAAAACTGTTAGGCCAAACAACGATCGCAAACGATGTCTAAGATATCACCCATATAAAAGGCGGCAACAAAGTCCCTATTAGCAATAGCAACAACTCTAACAACCCCTTCACACAACAACTTCAAGATAATCCAGCTGCATACCTCATTCAATAATTGAGGGCGGGCTCACGTCGTGATGAAAGCACGTCAACAAGATGTAGAAGCCGTGTCGCATGTTATTCAGTGTGTTTTATTAAGGTATCCGACTTCCGATCCTGCTGCACCGTTCAGATGATTTTTATTATGAGATTCTACACCTAATTAACTTACATTGTCTAGGCATAATGACTTTACTTCATGTTGACGCTCAACTCACTGAGCAAGTCCTGCTTCCTAGGACGTCATTTCTAGCAAAGGAGATGTAGCAGCAAAATAATGGAATCTAAGTTCTAAAGGACCGCCAATATTCATCTTTCTCAAAGCCCTTCGACCAAGACGGTGATCGCTGTAAGCGTTTCGAGGCGAACACAGAAAGCGAAATAGTATCAATGGATTAACAGTTTAGAAATAGTTCTAAGTTTCATTGGTTCCCATCAACGCGTGCCTTTTCAGGGCGCGTAATACTATTGCCTCTCTTAGTCCTTCTTTCTCGGTCATCGATAACGTACTCTTGATCCCCGTCCGTTGAATCACACTGGAGTAGCTGTGTGTTAGTCGGTGTTCTGACGACAGCCGGCCACACGTATTCCTGCAAGCCACCTCTAGCTGGACATTACCCGAGAGGGACCAGCGTAACGATGATACCGACCGCGTGTGTTTAGCCTGCGCTTCTGTCTGGAGAATATCAAATAGCTTCGTCTTTTCCCTGTCGACCCGCAAACCGCGGACCGGATGCAATGCAACTCGCGATGGCCTTGTGCTAACTACAGTAATATCTTTCGCAGATAGCTTAGAATAATATACTACATTGCAGCTGCACAACAACAGAAACGAGATATCCTAGGCGACCGGCTATTTTCGCGCAGGCCAATAAGCGCAATACGGGCAGGCCATCTATACACTCACACATAGTATAACAATATGATGATGGAGAGCGATTAATAAGCAGATAGCGCGCTGATAATACAAGCAAGGTATGTAACCAAACAATGTACCCACCGAGAACGCCGAACTGATAGCTACTGACCTAGCAGCAGAAGCAATGGCAGACAAACAGTTCGTTGTAGTGGATGGAGAGTTTTTGCTGAGAACCACTCCAGCCAGCGTTGGGCTGGTACCTTTCCTCGCACGCACTCTACACCACGAGTCTGGGCATACGTACAGACAGGGACCTTTAGAATACGTGGCAAACGTTCCCGTTCAGTCGATCGGCCGGCAGTTTCTGCCTGTAGCAACTTTTCAACCGCAACGGGCCTGGCTCTTCGGCAGCCTCAGATCGCCGCACTGGTTCGCTAATTAGTAACCATTAACAGAGCACTTCACACCATCATCAGGCTCATCGGATCGATGATCGAGCACAGCAAGCCGCTACTCAGTCGCTCTGCCTGACCGGCTGTCTGGCCGTCTGGACGACTCTGTTCGCTAGACGGCTACTGGGGGACTGCCGGCGCGCTGGGGACCTCCTCGCCGACCGTTCCGAACGGGGGGAGAGAGCGCGGAGATGCGGGAACAGCCAAGCAGTCCGAGGGAGACGGCCAGTAAGACGATAGTTACTCGCCGGCCTCCCGCAAGAAGGGCACAGAAAGTGAAAGAAGATTAAGAGAATCTACATCCACTACCATCGCTAACCGACAACGATGGCGATGGCGACAGCAACAGCAATAACATTACCACTACGACCGTCTTGAGTGCACGATGGCGCCAGGCATAGTCCATGTAGCGGTCCCCTAATAATAACAGAACGTATTGGGTGATCGTGGTGGTAAAGTTCGCACGAGGCCGTATTTTTATGGCGTAGTCCCTGGTCATCGAAATCGACAGCTCGAGTTGGAGCAAATATGGACGAATGAACAACAACAACAACAACCGAAGCGAAAAAGTACCAGCCCATCAATTCACTGGCAGGTTTTGCTGGGCGCCAGTGCTGGCTTTTCGGATAGGTGCTATTTTTGAGATTTTGTTTACCCACTGACGGCCCATGAAGACGATCGTAACGATACTGTCTTGGTGCCAATTCTCGGTTAGCTATCTATTACGAAATAACCGTTGACTCTAGGATCGTAGGACGCAGTAGGCGTACATTATGCGTACTAGCAAAACTTACACGACGGACCCACAGCTGCTAAGGTATCGTGGAATGGTTTAATGATATGTATTAAATTTATTCTGTTACAGATTGTTCTCTGCTATCCCAAGCCACTACAATTAGCACAATGCATTCTTCCGAAAAAGCTGGAGGAAATCTAACTGATTCTCGTCGTCGTCGTCGTCGTCGTCGTCGTCGTCGACGACCACCAAAGCTATAGATACGAACAATTTTAACAAAAGCAGACTTTGTGGCAATTCAAAAAAGGCCATCTCCGTTCATACTGATCTTTCTGCCTAGTGATTGCGCTGATATATACAGAATCAAATTGACACTTTCTGTTTTTCTTTTCAAGACGTATCCCTTTTGCGCACTACCTCTGAAAGGCGTCGCTTTGCGATTGATTCGCTGCTGCAGCTGTTCAATTTGGTGAATTCTTTTAACGCGGCGACGGCGCGAACGTTAACTTTTTTTTTCTTTTTTCCCAGAATTACGTTTCCTCACCGCCAACAAAACCTTTTTAGCCAAAGTGTCCTTATCTAATCTCTGGCGACGGGATGAATCTTATGGCGATAAAGTCGTTCTACGTAGTAGTTTCGCTATTCGTCTTCTATGTCTGTAAGCCAACGGCGCTTGATTGCATACGATTTTGAGCTGATAGTTGTCGAGCATGCGTTACGGCTATGGGTCGTACTGGTTTAGTCTTCAGCGCGACCGCTTCATCACTTTATGCTATTTTGAAGCAACGTGCGACGATGGCCCGAAGTAATTACGACAATACCTAGTATTGTGATTGGATTTGTCTAGGCTTCTGTGTGACGCTGTGTGACCACTTCTTCCGGGCGGTAAGCTCCAATTTAATCACAACTCCATACAAAATCTCCATAAAATTACACAAGAAATAGGAAAAAACGGCGCTCATTTGTGCCTCTTTCCGTGTGCGCTTAGCGGCAGCCAGCTCGCTACAGACGAAGGGCGTATCGTCGCCGGCGCCACTACATCAATTGACAGACGGATTATCGGACTTTGAATTCTTCTGAATAACGCAACTACTAAACGGTGGCGGGCGTAAAGTGATAAGCGGTCATCGGCGCGACGCGGCGCCGCGCTACCAGCAGAAAACGCGAATGGCAAATATTCCATCCAAGAAGATTGGCAGGAAAATAGGAGAACCTCATCGAGCAGCAATAATCTACTTGAAGCGGCAGATGGCAAGCTTACCATATTTTCTCTTCTAACTGATATTAGCAGTGGTAATTGAATGGGTAACCTTACCTTTTTTTTTCGTTTTGTTCCTCAATTCAGAGTTCCTAATCGCAGAAATTCGATGTCACGCGCGAACTATCTATCCGCCTAGGTCTTCATCGTTTTAGGCGGCGCACGCTATTGCACGTGGGTCGTAATAGCGAATGTTTAGGGGCAACGCGCAAGATAACACGTATCTTTAAGCTATGGCCTAACGATGAATTCTCGTTTAAATTTTTGGACATCGCGTGCTGTAACATCGGCTCTAGGCAAAAGCCTTCGCATCTGTATCGATCAATACTTCAGCTTTCAACACGAGGCCGTAATTCTGCTGCCCGCTCATCCACTCACTCGCTGATGGTGCGCCGGTGTCCGAGGATCCGTCTCATTATCATATTTTCGTCGAACAAAATTTATTTCCAATCAATAATCGGCTCCCTTTTTGCATTCATCAGAAGAGGGCAATTGTCTTGTGGGCAGCATTAAGTGCGACGATCAGAAGCAGGCTGGTGGTGCTTGATGGCAAAGTCGGACACAGGGCCATTCGGGTGAGAATAATAGTAATGAAAACCTGCTCACTTTTCGCATTCTGGCCTTATTGATACATGAAAACGAAAGTAGATAAGAAATGGACTATGGACCGCCATCAAAGAAGAACGACGCGCGATGCGACATAGTCCTGTTATTGCTTTTGTTACAATTACTGAGCGTCGCGAAGGGGGACATTGTTAGTATATTGCTAGGACTCCTACAAGGTTAATATTACGGTTCATTATTGCAACGTCAATCGATTTCTATTGAGCGCATAGAAAATTGAAAACATTATTGTTCATGTCAACAACAGTTGATTCTCAGACGTTCTCGCCGGAGCGTCGTTGACACATTATAATTATTACTAACGTGACGTTTTCTGTTAGCTATAGTTGCTCCGAGCTGTCTTTCGTGCGCCGTGGGTCAATCTGCGACATCAGCAGGTAGACACGTACGACTGACCGTATCGCCGGTCTGCGGAGATCGTTCGAATGGTGCCGACAGTGACGATGAACGATCCATGACGTCCGGAACGTCGTCAGACATCACCGTCATCGATACCACAACCATAATTGAATGAATTTACTATTATGATGCGTACGCAGGTAGACAAAGCTGCAGCCATTGTTCCCAAGCCTAACTCGTCAATTGCTTATTACAATAAATTGCATCTGTACAATAAATTTACGCTCTGGAAGCAACAATAGCACAGTACCATGTGATACCGCTAACCAGCATTCGCTAATAATAGAACGGACGATTATCATAACGACGGTGATCATTGTCGTCGTCGTCGTCGTCTCCAGCAGCCTTCCGCTGATCTTCATTAGCATCACCAATATTGTCGTAGTAATAGATAATAATCGGAAACAACTTTGTCATGTAGGTGGCCCGCTTTAATTTGATATTGCTACGCTGCCGTGCGCGGATTCAGTCGGAGCAACTTGGCGCTGTCTGAGCTCCATTACAGTCCGCCGCTCGACGAGTCGGCTAAACGGAACCCATTTTGAGGCACGCAAGCGATGCGTCAGCGCAGATATACATTATCAGCGGTAAACGCACGCATACGAATACATGGTGATCATGGTAAATGGCTATTGTTAGCTCGTTACACCCGGACCAATGCTGTGACTGTCGCTGATTGCTTTTTTTCGTTGTCGCTACCACGACTGACTGTCGGCAGGTGACGACCGACGACGAATTCAATCGACATGTCAGATTTCCGTCAACGGCAGCTGAGACGACGGCGAACGGCATGGAGAGCCAAAGGCCAAATGGAAACAGAGACTGCCCGCTACTGTCCTGCGACCATTAGTAGTTCTGGTCCGTTTACAACAACGACCCCCTCTAGCGGTACGCGCAGCAATCAAACGCGTCGTATCATTTGCACATATAGCATCCGCAGGCTCCTATTTGCATTGTTGTTGTACAATCCCTCGATAATTTTATGTTACGTTACGATTGTTTTGTTCGTGCCGATATCTACTCGTGTTCTGTGTCGCTTGTTGCCGATCATCACCACCACCGTCGTCGTCATCATCGCGAAAAGAGTAAGAATAGAACCCGGAACCTCTGACAATACAGAATAGATTCAGATATGAACAAATAACAAGGGCGCTGTGCTGTACGGCGTAGAAGTACAACTTTATGGCGAGCATGATAAAGCTACGGGAGCGCGTTTTGCGACAATAACTGTATATGCGGCGCACAAATATTGATGATTGATTTTAACGAAACTATTGTATATTAACCTTCCGACTTGCCGATGGAGCCGGTCCGACACGATGCGATGCGATGCGATCAGTGCAGGATAACGGTGCGTTACGTTACGTTACGTTACGTCGCTTCGTTCCCGTCCTCTTGATCCTTAAATACGGTCTGCGCAATTAGTGACGTGCGCTCCGCTGCGTTCAGATTCGCTTCGATGGCCTACAGCGCGCGAAGGCGAAAGACGCTCACCAACTATACAAGTTATCAAAGATGTAACGTACAGCTGATGAAAAGCAGCCACTAAAAATAGCCGAAAAAAGCTTGATGGATGTCTTGGAATCACCGGCGAACCCGGCCATTCGATATCAGCACGCTACTAAGCTTGAGCTAATCGATCCTGTGTGAAAATGCGACTGCAACTACGTTTGTATTCAGTATTGTTTAAAGATGATAATTTTTCTATTCGTATCGTATTGGCCTCGTCTAGATCGGACACGGCCACGCTTACCACCAGCCACGGTTCATCTTGTTTTTCAGCGATCGCTCTACGTACACGGAACGATATTAGCTTACTAGCAAAAATATCGCATCTCATTAATTTCCTATCAAAGTATATGTCTGTAATAAACATCTTCGTCCTTTCGCGGACAGCAGAAACAATGGTGGCCGATTAGACGTCGATGTAATCAGCACCATGCCATACACAGAAATCGAGCATGTGAAATTGGCCCGGTTTCTATTCGGACCCATGTGTCAAGGCGAAGCCCGACTGTTGTCACCGTCACAGGTGCACCACTTGCACCAAATGGATCATTTAAAGACGTGTACGTAAATCTGTTACGCTGGGCAGCCAGCCCCCTGCGCCGTCTTACAAGTCCTATTTACTATATTTACAACCGCGTAGCCTGTTAAGATGAGTTGTGCGTATCTGAAGTGCAGACGGGAAAGGTAATATCGATAGATGGTGCTCGTCGCGTTAAAGCTTTTAGAAACTCGTTACGTAACAATGGCCGGCTGCTGTATTTCGCTGTCGCCGCGAGTGAAGCAGCGGCGGCGTCGTCACTGTTGTGGTTTGTGACGATTGATTTTTTTGCGTTTCCATAAAAAGTAAATTCATATCCGCATCTCGGCAAAAATGTCCGCATAGACTGCTGCTGCTGCTGCTGCTGCTGCTGCTGCTGCTAGTGAATATATTAAGATACAGTTTATCATATTGTATTTTGCACCCTACCACCAGTTCTGTCGTCGGCTGGGTATTGTGAGAGCATGGCTGCGTGGTCTGTTGCCGGCAGCATTGGGTGACGCGTGCACGACTATTGGGCCATTGCATACGATTGTACCGATAACGTGGTGGAAAGAAATGTCTTTTTCTTAGAGATTGATAACGATATAAACGTTACTTTAAAGGGAACTCACATACTAAGTTGGCTATTTGTGAAACAAGTCAACAAACGTGCTTTATCTGTCAGCATCAAGCTCATCAGCTCAAAGTTCACCATGACAAAGTAGCATTTTTGTTCGTCTACGAAGATCAAATACGAAAGAAAATCTCATGGCTGGTGCTCGTGTTGACGCGGTATGCAGCAGCGATACACGTTTTAGACAAAAACTAAACGTGCATGTTGTGTGGGTTGTACGATAGAAATGTATCTCTTCGTCTACCGTATTTATCATCGCATGAGTGCTGCGAACAGGGACATGCCTCTAGTCCAGGAAGTCCTCACCATTCACGGGTGACTGTGTTCAGAGTAACTTTTTTTCGGCCTTAGTAAGCTTATCCAGGCCGAGCAGGAGCCGCCTTGCGGTCAAAACCTTCTTAATTACTTAAATATTATGCCGCATACGGTCATACTGCGTAAAATAATGGTTTTTTTTTTTCTTTCTGTTCGATTTCAGGTCATCTGACATAGGTTCAGTTGACCAGATCAGGTGTTTATTTTTTTGTTTTCACTAGATCTGCAGGTGGTAACAAACAGCCCGTCACGGACAAGTGATAATTTTTTTCCATTGACTTATGTACGAGATCACGATCGGGCGTTCTCGTGTCAAGAGATAAAAATATGGTTTATTCATATCTATTTATAATCGACAAGCCAAACCACTATCTCCTTGATTATTGATTGATATTTAACGACCGCAAAATTTTCCGGTTATTTCTAAAATCGATGATCCACAGGCCGACCAGACAGTCACCTGCGACCCGCCGAAAATCCACTGCTCTGGCTCCGATTAGCGGTGGAGGAACAAAAGATTATTGCCGATTTTGGTCACAGCCGCTTGAATACTCCCACGACAAAGGAACAGAAACGCAGGCCAATGGTAGCAGAAGGACCGTAGTTACAATGCGGCTGGGTAGAGGTTCGACGACGGACAGGAGGGTAGACGGATGAGCTAGCACGACTGCATGCGCCTGCAAATAATGGACAACATAAAGTCAGCGGCGGTGACAGCAACATCGGTATCGAAGAAAAATGCGGTTGAAGTCATAACCAGCACTGGCCGTTAACTCCTGTCACCGCCGCCATGCCACCTAATCTCAGCACCGGTTGAATTTGTCTTTTCCTGCCATTGAATCGACCATTGTAATTGCACATGGGTAGTCTATCCGCGACGTAGATCACCAGATCAGTACACCAGCGTACGCAGATGAACGTGTGCACGACCGAGCAGTGCTGCCATCTCCTATGGGGTGACACGCGTATTAGCCGTACGAAGCCGTGACGGTTACGTGTTACTGCAATAGTTCTTGGCACAATACAATGACAAAAGATTGTGTACAGTATAATTTTATATATCTGACAATATGAATGGCAGATATTAGGCGTAGCGCTTGCACAGGAAAGGCTGGCGTGTGTCGATTCCGACGCTGTCCATAGACGGCAGCCGTGAGTGGGCACACGAATCGGGTTGACAATTGGCCGGCCCGGAAGTTGCGAGACCGGGTGGTTACGGTGGAAGGGAAACGAGATCGGCAGATGCTGCTACTTCGTATTGGAATTTTGCTCCTGCTACAATTTAGGGCTGCAACTGGCATTACGTAGACCGAGAGACAGCTGTGAATATGTATAGTACGATGCCATTACGATTTATATCGAATCAGAACTGCTGGATGAATAAGTAACCCTTCGCGCCCATACAGAAATATGCTTATTTACTATATAATAGTAAGCATATTGACCATGTGGCTCAACTACGAAACACGTTAATCGCATAAACTATATTTTGAAATATTGACACTGCGCAGCGGAACGAGCACTCGCCGTTCACTGCTTAGAAACGATCCCAAAACGACAAGACGGTGGTGACCCATTTCTACAACCATCGCTGCCAGTAAGCAGTCAGCTTCGAAAACGCCAATACAACTGGAAGGCGCCATATTGATTCTTGCTTGTATACAATCACGTGAATAAGACTCTAGTTTGCCATAGCAAACGGTGTTAGTGACGTTGCCATGGATTCGCGTGGAGACGAACGAGCAAAACGCGTGCGCGAAAAGACCCTAACCTTATAGCCGTGACATTTATCCACAGCGAAGCAGTAACTTGAATCGAACAAGAAGCGGCACCGTGAAGTACTAAAGAGGAACAGTGGGGCAAAGATGAAACGAGACATCAGGCCAGAGGAGGCTAGCATGGACAGCGAGTGAACTTAATTTGCCCTTATCGGTGTCCGCATCGTCGACTTGCTGTCGGACCTTCGCAGAGTCGGAACTTTCGTCATTACTGTTGCTGTTAAAGGCTGTCATTACAGCAATAAACGGCGTCATCAGCAACGATAACTCGAAGCGGTTCTGAAACAACGTTGAACGCGTTTTTACATGTATGCGCAACATGGTTCGCATCGTGGCCGTCCGTAGTTGATAGGCGGGAAGGGGAAGAAAGATAGAAATTTTGCATGAATTAACGACGCCATCTCGTTAAACAGTCGAAGGGGGTTCTATTTCGATGCGACGGACTGCTAATACGACAACGCTGACGGCCGCAATACATGTTCCGTCCCTATCTATGCTGAGTCATCAATGAGCAGTCTCCTCCAGCAATATCCGTTTCCGCTAACATTCCGGTCAGCGTTGCACGACCCGTTCGAATCGTGGGCGCATACAGTGGTTAGCAAAATAGTAAATTATATCAAACTGCGAAAGCTAATCACCTAGCCAAGACCAAAATAACTTCGAGAAGTCTTTTTTTCTGCATAGTACGCTCTATAAAGACATTATCAACTGCGTAATAGCGCGGCGCGGTGATTCACAATTTTGCCGGCCGTCTATCTGCCTGACTTGCTAAAACTGTTTTTAAATTTACGCGGCCAATCGGATACGTGCTCTCGTTGTGGTGCCATGTTAACGATGGCTTTCCTGAGCCTCTTGGTCCTGATACGTATTGACGATCATTCTAAAATTGTTATCACTCTCAGAATCAGTTCTCTTATCGGTTCTCACGAATCGAGTCGGCTTCTTGTGAAAAAAAAAAGACGTTAATTACGTCATCGGTACGTTGATCATACCTCTGCACAGGTCTGCTTTAAAGACTGCCGATATATGGGCTAATTGCTTAATCTGTTGTTGCCACTACCAACAAAAGTGGGGTGCTTGGAGAGGCGATTTGACTTCTAGAGATGCAATCGACCGACCAATAATAATTTATAAAGTTGTTTTCTAGGATTTGCGGAAGAAGAGAGGCTTGAGCACAAACAACATAATTACGTCGAACCGTTTTGTTGGCCAGCAATCGACGGTGTGGTACTTGACTCTCTCACTTGAAACTGTTACTTTTCTGTAGCGGTGAGGTACTTCCAAAACATGAACCACGCCCAATAGCTGAAGAGTCGCATAAAAGTATCAAACTAGGGTTCACAGGCTATAGGTAATCTTCACGCTTGGCAGTCTAGCATGTCGTTTGAATAAACTCCAGCTACATAAAACCTTACTAGAAAGTTCATCTAATTGTCGGCTCACTTATTTATGCAACACACGTATACGATCCCCCCGACACAAGCGAGATTTTGTTCCTGCTCTTATGGGCTTCGGCTTGAATGAGGAACTCCTTTATTGGCTTAGAAGAAAACGAATTCGTAACGGTGAAGGTATGGACCCAAAGAAACTACACAGCACTAACCTGAACAAGGCGTCAGGTATCGGTTGATGGGGAGGAGGTAGCATTGTCCCATGGGGTTCAATCGCACAGGAGAAAAAGGTTGCATTCACGTAATCGGGCTCTGAACATACACTAGTCTCGTATCCGGAGTCCTTTGTGAGTTTCCGCTGCTGCTGTGCCGTGCTCTTTTGTTGAGCTGTGACATCCTTCCGATCGATGGGGTCAAAGATCCCCGCAGCCATATTACGCCTGGAACTAATTTTTTTGCTCACATTGAATTCGTATAATAGATTAGATGTTGCTTCTTTTCTTTTCTTTTCTTTTTTCGAAAGAAGCATGTCCAATCGGCGGGACGCACGGTTCTTTTTTGCTTCCCTAAACTACACTTCGAGTTCATTCCGACGAATCGATCGACAAACAAATTCGATCGGATGAACAGGCGCGTGATGAAGTATCATCGATGACTTCACGGGTTAGATAGAGTGGTCACCGAAGCTATAGACAATGAACTTACCTGAAATTTGCTTAAATTATCCATCAAACATTAAAACACCTATGCAAGCCGAAACGTAACTGGGCCCACTTGAATATCCGTTTTCAGAAACCGTTCCCAAAATTATATAGTACGATATTTTTTAATTATAGCTGTCTACTACTAAACAATTTTAGCATCATTGAATTTTTTGTAAAAACATATGAACCCTCTTACATCAACCGATACAGGGTTATGTATTGGAGCTGATGATTCCAAATAAGAACAGAGCTACGTTTCATTTTCGTCAAAGTAATTCAAAGCAACGTTATGTCTTGGAAAATATAATTTCATTAAATTGTGCCCATCGCAGAATCGAACAAGGGTCGTCACTAATTCAATCATTTTTTTAAATTTAAATAAGGTTCATGTTCATTGTTGTCCTGATCACGCTCTGTAGTGGAACCTACACCTCAAAACTATCTTAGTGCACACTTGTTGTGACAAAAACGAAAACGTACGTATGGGCAGGCTTAAGTAAAACCTTTTGTTACGAAAATGTTATTAAGGATATAACAAGTCTGAGGCCTAGTTGTCAATTACTAATGGGGAAGGAGGAGGAGGAGGAGGAGGAGGTAAGTCTACATCAAATGTATCCGTCTTCACCTACGAGCTGGATGCCGTAAAGTCATCATGAAGTAGGTGCCATTCAAGAACCTGCTTTGGCTTCACGCTACCACAACAGAACTCATTTCGACTTCTTAATCACTATCTAATATGTTAAGTTTCTCAAATCAAAGTTGTTCAGCGACCTTAAGCGCACTTTAATTGATCCAAGTCTAAACTCGGTTTGTATATGCGTATATTTATAGGGCAGGTATTCGTGTCAAAATTCTTACTCTCGACCCCAGCATTTTGTTGTAGTTCCTCGCTGTTCAACGACATAGTCCATCTCAACGGATCTGAAAATAACACAGGTATTACGCATTAGGTAAAACGGATAAAAAAAACCTAAAAAATTTGGATTTGGTTATTAGGTTTAGATATACGAATTACAAATACTAACTGATACGAATACTACATTGATTTCTGTAGATGATGATGATGATTTTATGAAACCATTATTGCAGGTACTGCGTCAGGTATCATATGTATCTTCGCACACATTGGAATACCTGGGGGCACACAGAAAAGTCGAATGGTGTCTCACGATAACGGTTTCGTAGAGATCTAATGTCTAGCGACAAAACACAGTAACTTGTTTTCAGGAGGCTGTATCGAAAGTATTCGTCTACGTAAACCCAATAAAAGCGTCATATGGTACGTACCCAGTTTCACATGAAGCTGTGCCAGTCTCGTCTTGAACAAATAATGGGGGCAACAGCAGGCCTTTGAGCGGCACCACACTGGTAAGCGCCTGAAGTGAACTCGTGATGCCTCCTCCACCCAGACTTAACGTAAGTTCGCCTGGACGTGATTTTGATGAATGGCGTCGGATTAACGATTTCGGGCAAACGTTCGTATCTGGAATTTTTTACAATTATGAGGTGTGATTATAACGAGGGAACGGGATGATCAAAATCAGGATTCCAGTAGTATATTTATAAAGGCAGACCGATAAAAATTTCACAGCAATTTATGCTATTTATATTTCCGATACTCACATGCGCCGGGAAGCATCGACCTATTAATAAGTCGACCGTTTTCGTAACCTAGTATGTATATAATTAGCGCTAGACATTCATGCTTGATTCTTTTTTTTTGCCATTGAAAGCAGAACGAAGTACTTCAATACATTATGGATGGCGGACGTATTGGCAATACTGGCTGCTAAGGATACGGATAGTTACTAGATTTTAATGTTCTAGCGTAGTTACCTTGAAGAGTAGCCGAACTCTGAGCCTTGCGGGAACGTAGCAGGTCCCGATGACTTCCCCATTCTCGTCGCAAAGGAGCACTCAGACCACCAGGATCACGTCGATTCCTTGGTAAATCATCAATCAATACCTGTGCACAGTAGAGAAAAGAATATTTTTTCCCTATATATTTATACGTATATATATATATATATATATATATATAGGGAATATATCTTTTCGACATATATATGTCGAAAAGATATTGAATACTATAAAACCAAGATTGAACCAACTATTCTTTTGCAGTTTAAAATAACATTACTAAATTAAATGTGCCATTTAGATAGATGACCTTCTGCCATTTGTCATATTGCCATCTTTGTAGAATTTCCGCGTTAGTAAATCGTGACAAGTGCTTTTTTGCATCCGTTTCCCTCAAACTAGATTAGCGCCGCTAAAGACGCTACGCAAAAACCGGACCAGAAGATAGCCTGATGGTGCAAGGTTCAGCCATTGTATACAGCAGGTTTACTGAAACTTCCCATTCAAGCTCTCTTAAATTTTGCTAGGCAGTTGGAAATGTATGTGGCTTGATGTTACCATGGTGGAAGACGACGCCTTTTTAGTTTACTAGTTCCGGTGAATACTTTTAAATGGCTTCCTGTAATCTTGTTGGCAGTTAACCGTAGAGGTTTGAGTCGATCATTTTGTCAGGCGGCAGGAACTCATAACGCAGAAAACATTTCCAGTATCACCAAGTACTTTTTGGCGTCAACCGGGGCCTTACCACGCATAAGCACATTTGATTTTCTTTTTATTTAAACCTTATCGTTTGCGATCCGCGTTTTACAATCCGTGATCAATCGTTTTGGGATTATTTTAATTTTTCCATATATATGAGAACTTTCAGAAGAACATCGGCAGAATCGTCTTTACACCGTTACTACCAATAATGTACCTTGACTATAGACAACAATTTTTCTTTGTCTAGATTTGTGCAGCATTTATGCCTTAAATCGTGCAACACATTTAATCATCTTTAAGGCGCTCTATTTTAAATCTGAATAAAGACATTCGGACAATTTTAGCATACTCTAGTGCTAAAAATCTCAGTTTTCAGACCTGATGCGATTCGTACTACTCATGTGACGATATGTAATCCGTCTAGATAGAGAAATGACTGGTACAACCCAATAGAGTATAGAAGGCAGTCGTACAAATATGTCCTTTGCCATGAGTGCAAAAAGAATCTCCCAGAACTCCCCTTTCCGTGTTAGCAATTTAGGGTCAAGTACGGAGCACGATATTCGTGATAGCTACCGGGCTACCCCCGAAGATCTATCCTCGGACTTTTGCTCCCCTCACCCTCGGCAGAACCAAACTTTGCTGATTATCGCAAGAAACAGGATACACTGAACGAAAGAGCACAGCACATTTTGCTCAACTTATAGGCTCATGAATGAGTTCATACGATAAGCAAGTTGTGTAGGACTCAATCTGTTACTGAACAAACTGAAGCAACCTCGGAGCTACCCTAGACAGATCTCTCTGGGAAAAAGATTACAGAGAAGGCAGTACAGGTCGAAAGCAATTTAACGTGGACCATACTCAGGGTATGGGAAGTCTTCATTAATAAAATGAGACTCCTAGCCCTGGTAAAAAATAAATTCTAGTGTACATAGTTTTTACGTCTAAAACTCAAGCGTAAAAGGAAAAGCTCCAAGAAGAAGACGCAGAGGCTGTTGGTGATGGTTGGTGGCGGGGGCACATGGGACGGGAGGGGCAAACTCGACGATCGCCGTCATCAAAAATGTTCCATAAACAAGAACAATCGAAGAAACAACTATGCGCAAGTCGACTTGAAACAGAAAGCTCACAGCCTATCGATATAAGTGTGCCAGAAAAAATGAAACACCATGGCAGCGGGCTTTCCAGAAGCTTGAACCAGCCACCTCATTAAGGATGTAACGAGATCGATGAATACGGATTGTGTTGATACCACGAACCATCTAATTAAAGTCCGGACGGGCTGTGGGCGCTTATAGAAGTAGCTTCGTATTATCGGAAAGGCCTCCAACCCCAAGCTGGGTGTACAGCGAGACGGGAGAACAGGACGCTGTCATCCATTCTGGGCCGTGCGGATGGGGATATGAGACTTGTAGAAGAAACCGCTTGCAAATATTCATTGATGCAATGATTTTAAATAGTTCCGATCAATGTCAAAAAGTTAAAAGGTGTCTTATCGTTTATTTACAATTTGCTTTAAATTCAAACATGCTATTGACAAATAACTTGTATCTAGTCAATTATTAATAACTATAAATTAAAAATAGTTCCTTAGAGCATAATTAAATAATGAAATAGTAAAAAATAAATCAAAGGTCTTTATACAGCGGTAACAGTTAGGGTGATCTATCGAATGTCTCTCCGTCAAATATCTCGGAAGCTGCTACTGGTCACTCGTATTATACAGTAACGGCTGGGTCGTCACTCAGATACTTGAAATGGTTACTCTGTTTATTCTAGGAATCAACTGGGTATATCGGGGCCCAGTCGTGGTATGATCTGCTATGCTTGACAGGATATGGTGGATGAAAATTTTATCCGATATTCGAAACGTGCCAATAGAGTAATGATACCGGGAAACACTGCGTACAATTTACAAACATTTATGCTGCGTTTGGTAAAATAATTCATGCATTTTAACAGCCATTACTTGCACAGTTCTCTTGCGTATACTTTTTTGTCGCACGCCTTCATCTGTCAAAGCCTCTCCTTACCCTCCTTGAAGAAAAGAGCGCAGAGATTGACCACCTTAACCTTACTCTAAGTTATTATAAGCTAACATTAAATTATTATTGAGTACTATTCGACCATTTGTATTTCAGCTGCTCAGCACTCCTTGGAATAAATATATACGTGTATAAATGTATGTATTTTTTTCGTGTGAACGATTCTTCTTTGCTTTTTAACACTGACCGATACTGATGTTGAGTGGGTATGGTGTTTATTTGCTCGATGTCTCAAACTCTGCCTGAGCGAGTTCGCCCGAGACCACAGCGATGAAGGTTGATCCTTGCACTCTTTTTCACGATCTCTCTCTTTGTCGAACCTTAAAAAGGAAAGCACAGATATACTTGAATTACTTTAGATACGCTCGAAGGTGTCTGTAATAAGGCGATTTACGTAGGGTCACTGGACGCTCCCTGACAATTGATCTAAATCACCTGTTTCAAGGATATAGTGTTCATCACCCATTCTTCTGTATAATGCTCATTGACATAAATATGGGATTTTGGATAGAGACTTGTGTGTGAATCAGATCAGGCAGCCGTGGGCGCAAGGGTCAACATGTCCTTGGTAAGAAAAGCATAGTGAGATTATAGAGCGTTGTTTAGTTGGACCGTTCCATATTGATTACGTGACACAATATATTATACTTATGCATGTCTTTAGTTCACCTATAAATAAAAACAAGTCATTATTTGACGGCGTATGAACATAAATAACGACGTTCAATACCAAGCGTAAAAATGCTTTTACACGTATCCGACCCACGATGACCCACGTTTCCTGTCAACTGTATCACATCAAAACGATACACAGAATGTCTATACATAAACAGACGTACACAGAAAAATAAATACGCAAAGTAAGCCAAAACAACACGGTAACCCCATCATGAAGGGCTGTCTATTATTGGTCTCGCCGCTTCCGCAGTTCCCACCGTGGTACACCTATTCACTGATGCTCTATTCGTTAGCCACAAGCGAGAAATGTAACTACAACTTTCCTTGTTCAGTTATTTATTTGCTACTCCACTATTATTCGATAGTCAGTAATGCAAGCGGCGAACTTCGTCCGCCAACATCAGCATCACTTATGTATAGCACATCATTTTTTCCCGTTCTACTCCTACTATCTTTCTGTCTGCAGACGAACTGTGATGGCGTCTTATCCATTTCAGCAATTCGTCTTCGGCTGCATAGGCTGGTGCGAAGCTCATCTTAATGTTGGTCTCAGCAATACCACTTGTATCGCCGGCCAACCACTGCAGCTCAAAGCTGCCCACTAATCAGCTGTTCCACAAACTTCTGCCCGTGATTCTGGGCACATAACTTCGTTACGGCTATTTTTATACACAGTTTTTTTTACTACTGCCAGTGCTGCTCTAGCGACGAGTTGGGATACGAGTGCTGCTGGCGTCGTTGTTGCTGATTATGTCGTTGCTCTGTTTCTTATTTTTTTTTTTCTATTTTTTATCATGGAGGGGTTGCACGCGTGCCTTACTCTCACTGTCTTTTCTCACAGGCAAGAACTCTGTAGTTCGTTAAAGGCAGAGGGGGACTGTTTCTGCTGTTGGCTCCACTGTTGTTGCTACCGCTGCTGTTACTTGAAGAATTCGACGTCCCCCGATTTCGGACAGATAGGCCGACTCGCTGGTGACGCCTCCTCGGACGCCTGCCGCTCCCGCCATAGCTGCAGGCTAATTTCGCAGTTCCTGAACGTCCAACAGTTCGGTTGGTGTTTACGAGTTCACCAGTTTGCAAATCGTCTGCCGTTATCGGATACGGACTATGGCTTCCCCCTAATTTGGTCCCTGGATGGAAGCGGGCGAGCGATCGAACAAGCAAATTTACTGCCCATCATCTTTGGCCGTTCTTTTTCTACCAGCGAGCACCACAGGTCATCGTAGTATGGTTATAGTACTTCGTACTTCTGGACCTTGTAGTATTGTCAAGAAAGGCAGGCAGTGGCGCTAGAACCTGTCCGTGCTCGCCGCGGACGCCACCTATCAAAATTTTGTCCAACGATGAAACACGAAAAGCGGATGACGGGTTGGAAGCAGTCTCAAACAACAGCAGTTAAAATAGTAAGGGGCCGCGGTACGTCCAACAGAAGTAATCGTAATGGTAACAGGCGTCACCCGAATGGTCATTATTACGCCTGGATTGCTTGCAGACACTGAAAAATGAATGATAAATGTGGCGATGGAAAGTTGTGCTCACAGTCGCTGGCTGACTTGCTCATTAATAGACATATCTGCGTTATATCAATTGTGCAATTATCACGAACACGTACTTTACGTGGATAGAAATTTTCGCTGCAAGAAGCGATACTGAAAACGGCACATATATTCTATGTAAAATGTGGCACATGCAACGAAGCGTCTATTTGTATGAAGGGTGAATTATATTGGTTTTGAGACCTCGCATTGGACATGCGTAGTATGCATAATACAATTCGAGACAAGATAGCTCTGTGATTCAGACGCTAATACGGCAGACATGACATGACGGCAACTTTGCTCCTAGAACCCGCTAGTAAAGTAAAAAGCACCTGTTTGCTTGTGCGCTAATGTCAGCATCTTTCGGGCAAATAGACAGTTCAGAAAGCTACCAGGTTTACTTCACTGTGGGCTAAATAGTCACAGTCGCAAGCTCTTCTCCAGTGGCTTTTTCCCGCGGCTGACGGATCCGTATCTACTTATAAACATTGAATTAGGCGTTCACGACACAAAGCTAGCCGCACACACGTCGCCTGTAGATCGACGATTGGGGCAGCAGCAGAAGTCGCCATGCCCGTAACATCGAACAGTATCTTTACCTAAACAGTGTTCTTATCTTCCGTTTTCACGCATACGCTCTTAGTAATTGTGCCAATCAACTTTGCCGCGGTTGACGGTTCAGCACAGAAAAAATCACACAAATCTCGTCTCTCCCAGCGCTACGGTCAAGAGTGTCTGCTTTTCTGCCCCTTCATCGTGCTCTGGTGATTCTTATGGTAATGAAGACACCTGACCTTTTAATCAACCATTCTGATCGTTTTATCGCGCTCATCGCCGATTCTCCCGGATTTTCCAGCCCGGAAGGGGCCGCCTCTTTGCTGCTATTGACAGCGCCACCTTTAAACAACAATGGCCGACCAACAAAGGAGAAAGGCTAATGATATCACAAAATATTTATTTCAATGTCATCGCTTCGTTATGGCCCAGTTCGTTTGAGGGAACGATCTTCACGTTGTCGACCGACGACCGGTATCGACAAAATGCCTGCTTGTCGATAGCGTCCAAAAAACAGACGCTCGTAGTAAACTGTGAAGGCAATATACTGGCAAGCAAAATTTTGAGGGACGGCAGCGATGGCAACAATGGCAGCAGCGCCGTCGGCAGCGAAAGCTTTGTGGCTAGCTACTGTATATATTAATGTAAAAGATAAACGTGAAAAAATGTATCTTATGGTATTTTTCACTCTATTGTCTGTATAACAGAGGCGACGAGAGTGGCCGTACGTAATACACCTGCCTGATTCAGAACGTGGCGTTCTTGAGTCATATAGAGGGGCACGGATACATTAGGATATACACTTCCCGTGTAGCATCGGGCAGTTTCAATAATTAATTTGGCAATACAACTGTGTGAAGAAGACTTCAGAAAGTGACTTAATGAGAATAGAACGAACGTTTATTTACTTATACTGCAATTGTTGGAAATCGAACGTCGAGCTTTTCCGCTAATATTTACGTTTTTATCTCGACCTAACTCCCAATCGTATCAGTATCGATAGTGTATATATATATATATATATATATATATATATATATATATATATATATATAACACGATTTCGATTGTGAGAAAAAATTTCAGATATCTTTGGTCATTTGATTTCCGTCGTCCACCAAGCAATATATTAACCTCCCGCTATCGATTTCACGGAACCTGCTAGACTTTTTTCGAAAGGCCGCGGTTATTGTCAGTGCCCTGTATTGAGGCGCCAGGCCTTTTTACTATGAACGAAACTTTCGCTGCTTCCAACCGCAGTTTTCACGAATATCGTACTAAATAGTGTGCGTGTTGTACTAAAATTGAGCCGCAGTAGAAAAGAGAGCGTCTTTCATTATGGCCTTCACTTATCACAAATAGTCATATCAACTGCAACGACCAAGAAGTTCCTGACCGAGTTCTTTCAATTGGCTATTTGTTTGCTCGGACTGCCGAATCTTGATGGTGGTTGTTTCTCATGCCCTCCCCCCCCCCCCCCCCCCGTAGGAGGACGTCAGCAGACTCGAGCGGTAGACATGACGCTGCCCTGCGGTTGTCGTTGCATTTTTTCCCCATTGACTAAAAACAGCAACGCTCGCCGCAGTCTCATCATCATCCATTATACTGATTGTTCATCGTTGCAGACCGCTCTGGGGAAACGAAACAAGACTGATCAGAGATGGGGTATTCCCTGTTCTTAGTAATCAAAGATTTTGATTTTCGATGGCTCTGTTTCTTTGCCATCCGCCCCTCGTTGACAGACTTTCAGTCGCTCATCCTGTTGTTCATTCTCTTAGCTGATGCTATAGAATAAATAATACATACAGATTGTAGCCCCATTCGTTCTTTCACCACCGCCTTAGCCTAGGAACTTTTCAAATACGAGATCATGACTACTGCTGTGACCACCGTTGCTCGACCTCGATACCAGCTGACCTGACCAAGCTAGCCAGCGCTCTCCTCTTTCTCGAAGACGAAGAAAATATACATGAAAGTTAACCTGTTACACATTCTACCGCTTCTATTTTTTTTTCTACCATTCTATGAACACTGCCAAAGACTATTGCACTTTTTACAAATAGAGCAAATGGTAAGTGGCTAGAGCTGCTGTCACAGAAATTGTCGTCGTCACAATCGCAGGTATCAGAATGCCAGAGCTCGCTTGCACTCACTTGTCCAACACGACGTGCAGGAAAAACAGTAGGACAAAACTGGACTGTCGTCTGTCTGGCCGTTAATGTCGCTTCGGACAGTTGCCTACCCAGTCAGTGGAAGTTAGTATGGCTGGCAGTGACCCTAGCGGTCACGGCCAAACCAATGTTCCCTGGTCCTGCTTGTTGCTAGCACAGGATGGACACGAAAATTCACTGATGGCTTCGGCTTTTTCTAAACGGGCAATCAATGCGGCAACGGGCGGCAGTCATTGGCAGAAGAGCGTTACTTCTACTGCTGCTATCTGGCAGCGGCGCTGCTTTCGACTTTCGTTGAGATAGATACACAGCGAGTCGATCAGGCGACCGCAGACGGACGCTCCTCGGAACCACGCATGCAGGCACAATCGTAGCGACCCCAGTAACCCGGGCATCGAGGACCCCCGGGTTCGTTCTCGATTGGCTAAGTCTGGGATGTGTTTTCAACTATCTTCTTTCTTTCTTTCATTTTGTCTTCGGCAGACGCAGAAAAACAGCAGCAGCAGCAACGGAATGGTGGCGACAGAAAAAGTTATCTTTGCTATTATTATCATTATTGATGCTATTATGGCTAGTGACCACAGCAATGCCTGATAGTAGGAAGAGTCAGTGGGGTGAAAAGAACGAATACATAAGATCGAAAGAATCAAAGGCATCGTAGAGTTCGTCGGTATTCTGGAAAGAGGCGAACACGGATAAAGGAGTTGCAGAAGCAGTTAATTGTCAATAAAACATGGAATCGTTTAAAAGGGTGTGCAGTCATCCAACAGAGGCTCGCTTCGATATAGTCTTGGGAAAATATTGGAAACCGACAGACGGAAAACACAGTTGTACGCTTGAACTGAATGCGAAGACATTTCGTGGGGGGAAAATGTCACAAAAAAAAACTTATAGAGTGCAAAAAGGTGAATTCTCGTCTAATATACAATACATTAATTGTTGCAGTCTGCTGCTGCTGCAAGCAAATAGACGATAACGAGGTTTCCCAACGGACAAGTTGTCAGTGAAACCGTTCTGAGCTACCGTTCATTATCAGCTTTATTTTAAACTACTAGTAACTTAGTGAAACCACTTTCTAAGACAACGCGGTGAGGGTCAGGTCGAACATCTCTTCGGCCCTAGTATATAGCTATTGAACGCAAATTCTGTTTAAAATCTATTATATTATCCACTCATTATCCGTTCCTTTCCGGCACCCCTTAGCCCATTGCGTGACTAACGTATCCTTCTATGAGAAGGACTTCCCTTGTGTTGTAGGCTAGATGCGAATTTCAGTCTTCTTTATGATACCTAGAGATCTTGAGAGAACTCTTCTAGTGGCCGTTTACGAATCGTAAGATACATCGTCGAAGCTTACTAAGGTGCAAAACGGATATGGACAAATTTACTGTATGATGTTTTACTGTGTCATAAAGGGTTAATGCACTCTTCAAGCTTGTCTCACGATTTCTGATTGTAACATTAAACACCAAACATTATAGAGTTGCCTTTCATAAACGTTCTGTCTTGCGTCGGCGGTTTTGGCATTTTATCGGTACCATTATATATCCTTCAGTGGATAACGATAAGAGCGACGTATCCGTTTAAGCTTCTAGGTCTGACGCTCTCAGATTTAACCACTTTTGTAAAAAAACCAACTAGAATCAATGTTTACTGCCCGCAAGCTTAAGTTAGAGTAATGAACCGCACCACATACTATTTCTGAGTGGTAGAGAAATTTTACCGCTGCTGATCTAATGGTGG